CTACTACTACTACTACTACTACTACTACTACTACTACTACTACTACTTTCACTACTTTCACTACTTTTGGTTTTTATCTAGAATGTTAGCTATTCTTTAGCTATTTTTAGCTTTTAGCTTGCATTTGATTACGTTTACATTTTCCATTCTTTTATCAATTTTCTTTACCAACTTCTTCTTTCCGAGTTGTGGGGAATTGATTTCCATCTCCAGTAATCACAGTGCGAGAGGCATGAGACACCTGGACAGGTCACACGTCTATCACAAGGACACATAGTTTTTAACTTTCATTTTGTTACGTTTAGCCTTCGGTTAGCTTTTGCTACTTTTAACGAGCATTTTGTGACATTTAGCCTTCGGTTAGCTTTTGCTACTTTTAATTAGCATTTTGTTACTTTTAGCCTTCGGTTATCTTTTGCTACTTTTAGTTAGCATTTTGTTACTTTTAGCCTTCAGTTAGCTTTTGCTACTTTTAACTAGCAATTTGTTACTTTTAGCAATCAGTTATCTTTTGCTACTTTTAGCTAGCATTTTGTTACTTTTACCCTTCGGTTATCTTTTGCTACTTTTAGTTAGCATTTTGTTACTTTTACCCTTCGGTTAGCTTTTGCTACTTTTAACTAGCATTTTGTTACTTTTAGCTTTCGGTTAGCTTTTGCTACTTTTAACTAGCAATTTGTGACATTTAGCCTTCGATTAGCTTTTACTACTATTAACTAGCAATTTGTTATCTAAAAAAGTTAAATCTGGTTCTCTGGACTTAACTTAACAACTTAACTTAACTCTGGATTTAACTTTTTTAGATTTTTCTACCTGGATTATTGAGCATGCATCAGGATAGCAATTTGTTACATTTAGCCTTCGGTTATCTTTTGCTACTTTTAGCTAGCACTTTGTTACTTTTAGCGTTCGGTTAGCTTTTGCTACTTTTAGCTAGCATTTTGTGACATTTAGCCTTCGATTAGCTTTTGCTACTTTTAACTAGCATTTTGTGACATTTAGCCTTCCATTAGCTTTTGCTACTTTTAACTAGCAATTTGTTACTTTTAGCCTTCGGTTATCTTTTGCTAATGTCACACCAATAACAATAAAGAGGTTGTTCAGTAATGAAGAGTGAGGAAGACTATCTGCATTTCTGACACATTAAAGGGCTGTTTTTACATTCTAAAACAAGCAAACTGAAAATTAAACTTGCTTTAAACTCGTCGTCTTGTCGGACTTCTCTGTTCGAATATGTTTGTGACAAACTGAGCAGTAAAAACTTGACATAAATTCATTCAACATTTATTTAGACAGGTAAATCCCATTGAGCCTCGAGGACTCATTTACAAGAGAGACCTGATTTCATCAAGGAGTGATGAAAACAGTGGACAACAGCGACAACAATAGACAGCCACAAAAAAGGCATACAGATTATTATTATTATTTTTTTTACTAATAAGAT